TTCAATTATGCTTTAGTTTTCCATTTCCATTTTCACTCGCAAATCACTCGGCGTACCAGTGCATGGAGTGAACGGCATTAAGAGAGAGAAGGTTGACCTTTCTCATGATGGCTTACTTCCATGCGATATTCGGCCGTTGTGGTACAGCCGCCAGACTGTGTAATCATAATAAAATAAAGTGAAATCCATACTAAAAGTCCATTAAGAGACTACAGACTACCTCGCTGGCTATGATCATAACAGCATGGCCGTCGTGCTGTTTAGTTCATTTTCTAGAGTCTGTTGGCCAAGCAGTTTTATTTAAACTTAGACGGTTACTCTATAAGCTATCCATTTAACTTTTCATTTGGTAAAAGTAAGTGAACCAACTTGCGAAAGTTTGGCCTGTTTCAAGGTACCTGTTAGGAGTAGAGGCAATTTTACTGGACGCCACATTGTGAACAAAAATCAACCGCGAAACAGGTGACGCGCTGAATTATTTCGCAACATCAAAACGCGCGAATTTCAAAGGTCCAACAACATCACAGCGATGAAAGGTGCAACACTATACCTTGAAGATGGATCAGCCTATCCTGGGAAAATGTTTGGTGCAGAGACTAGTAGCCCGGGCGAAGTTGGTTAGTTTAGATTTTCATTCAACGCATAATTTGTACTGTTGTTAATTGTTTTTATAAAAAAGTGAACAATAATGTCTAGAGTGAATGACAGAGACTGAGAGAGAGACAGGTGGCTGAGAAGAGTTAATTAATTAGGAAGCCTAGGAGACTCATAGTAGGACCCTCACCTGTTGGCTGGCACTGGTAGCAGCCAGCTAAGGGCATATCTGTAGTCCCACTCCTCTATGTTTGATGATTTGCATTAATTCATTTCCTTCTCATTTGTCTCAAACATTAGAATTTACTCTTCAAATGGAAACATCAAAGAACAACCACAAAATAACAATGTCATGAGACAGGACACCCCAAAAGTAAACTTAACTTTAAGAATCACTGTTGACAAAAAACAAATGCTTAGGCCTACAGTAATTACAATGTAAAATTTTTGAATAGTTAAAACATTGAAAATTAAATATTTCATTAGGTGTACATATGGCCCTTAGATTTTTTTGCAGTAGGGGGGCCTATGTAATTTCAGTTATACAGTAGTTATAAAGAGTTTACTACATACATTAAACCAAGGACTTTCACAACTGTTACCAGGATAGGAAGCTGGCTGGTTTAAGCCGTCTTTCTTGAATTAGCCTTATGTGTGGTATTGTTATGCTTATGAGGCAAATAAGTGCAATCTGCACATGCTCAGAAAACCAAAACTTTCCTTAGCCACACCATGACCACACTGCGTATCGGCTAGGTGTACAGCTAGGCCTAGCCGAGAATTACAGTACGGTAAATCAAAGGAAAATAAGTGTAATAATTTCACTTGACATGCAAATCAATCATACTTACACACTTAAAAACAAACTAGTCTACCATTAAAATCTCCTGCAAGTTAAGATATAAGGCAAGTATGTCTGCAAATTTGAATTTAAATTGATGTGATTAGGCTAGCTAGACCCGGCCTAGGCCATGTCTATCCGCTTATAAAAATGCAGAAAAAAGACCCAAAAACAAATTAGAACTAGAGATACTGTGTTCAATAGAACATGAACCCAGTCATTTTTTACGAGATAACCACTGTGACATTTAAGCTCAACTTGTGAACACCCCCATGTTTGGTAGGGTCTGTCTAATGCAATTGGTCCAATCGTTAGTCATTATGCAATATTTGATAATTTTCACTATAGTGACCCTTGTCATTTTTTACCTATAGGTGAAGAGTAGTTTTTCATGTTTAGAAGGTCCTAAGGATCATTCCTAGTAAATTTGAACTCAATTGGGCTATTTTGAAAATTTGACCCTGATGGCCCCTATGATACCAGACAGAGGTGTAGGAGGTGTCACTGGTTCTATAATGATCAAATTTGATTGTATTCGGTTCAATCGTTTGCCATTAGTAACATTTTGAACCTTTGATCTATGATCTTTGACATATGGGGTGAAGAGTATTTTTTGTGTTTAGAAGGTCCTAAGGATCATTCCTAGTAAATTTGAGCTCAATTGGGCTATTTTGAAAATTTAACCCAGATGACCCCTATGTGACCCCTGATCCTAGACTGGGGTGTAGGAGGTGTCGCCGGTTCCTAATGATGAAATTTGATGGAATTTGGTCCAATGGTTTGCCATTAGTAGCATTTTGAAATGTTACTAGAGAGAATGAAAGAATAACCATTTAATGACCTTTGACCGTAAATTGCTGAACACCATAAAGACCCTACCTTATGCCAATACATATGTGCCCATTGACAAGACTGCTATGTTATTTGTGACAAAAGAAGTCTTTTATTCATTTTTTTGAAAGTTTTTTACACTAATGACCCCTATGTAACCTTTAACCCCCAAACAGTGAACACCCCATTTATGAGAGGTGTCACCGATTATACTGACCAGGTTTGGTTGAAATCGACACAACAGTTTGGCACTAGTAGCGTTTTGAAATGTTGCCAGAAAAAACATAAAAATTACCCCTTAATGACCTTTGACCCTTTATCCCTGAACACCCTCTAGAATCTGCCTTATGCCAATGTATATGTGCAAAGGACAAGACTGTGCTACATTATTTGTGAGACAAATAGTCTTATACGATTTTTGGTTTTTTTCACCCTAATGCCCTTTATGTGACCTTTGACCCCAGGTTGTGAACAACACATAAATGGGACGTGGCACCTGTTCTACTGACCAAGTTTTAATTAAATCGGTCTAGTAATTAAGTAAGTAAGTAAACAATTCATCATAAAATTCCATAAAAACATAAAAATTGATGCCATTCACTTAACAGATTTTGGAAACATGTTAAAATACAATTTTTAAAATAAATAAGATTTAAAATTGGAATTTTATTTAAATTAGGCATCCATATTTCCCTCCAAAATACTTGCTTCCCCCCCAAATATCACAGTTAAAAACTCACCTAAAATCACCTTACGGTATATTGCGAGTTAGCACCCCCCTCAACTGATCTTCAACCCCCACTTAACCTTTGTGCCCCAAAATTTGCAAGTGATATCCGGTGGGAAGTGAACCCACGACCTCCAGATAACTATCCCAGCACATAACCATGTGACTACAGAGCCTGCACATAGTGACTAGATAGTGTTGAATCCAAACCCCAAGTAGCAGAGGATACTGCAAATGCTATTTTGAAGTGAGTTTGCGTCAGGAAAATATAGAAGTGACGTTTCTGCCTACCATGATTGTACCGAATACTCAATATGTTCCCAAATTCTAAAGTGATTCAGGTGGGAAGTGAACCCACGACTTCCAGAACCAGGCGCCATTGTGATGAGTTGTTATACGGAGCAGAACATTATACAATGGACTCTATTGAGTTTTATTTCAGTATGGTCTTACTCGCCATCTTTATTTATCTCCTCCCCTTGACCCAGAGGGCTCACTCTCCAGATTGCATACTACAATCAACACAGCCATAACCACTAGATAACTCAGCTTGTGATAGAATCCTAATGATTTATAAAAATATATCTTTATCGTTAATGACAACCAGATGAAACTTTTCTGAGAATAATACAGTATCATGCTTTTATTAATTAACTTACAGTATTTGATTTATTCCTTTCTCTATAGTTTTCCAGACTGGTATGGTTGGTTACCCAGAGTCGCTCACCGACCCATCATATAAGTCACAAATTCTTGTTCTAACCTATCCCCTGATTGGTAATTATGGCATCCCTGGCAACGATACTGATGAATTGGGACTGCTGAAGTGGTTTGAGTCTAAGGAAATCCATGTGGCTGGTTTGATTGTTGGTGAGATCTCCACAGAATACAGCCATTGGGCAGCTGTGAGGTCTCTGTCTGATTGGCTGAAAGAAAACAATATTCCGGCCATGTGTAGTAAGTATTCTGTTTCCCAATTCATTTCAGTTTCTTCTGCTATTTATAGACGAGTGCCACAAGCTTCTGCTTTTTATTATTGGTAGCATTCCTTTAATGTAACTGAGAATATTAAAATTGTGGCTTATGTTGTCATAATAAGATAAAATACTCAATAAAGCTTTAATTCACATAAAATAGTGCACTTATAAAATAAAAGATGCAATGGTAAGTTGTTGTGATGCATAGTGTTATGAGTAGGTGTGTGATTTTCAGTTATTATTACCAGGGACGTCCAAAAGTGGGAGGGGGGAGCCGAAATTTGTGCCAATCAAGACAACAATGCTCTAAGGGATCTGGGGGCATGTCCCCGTGAAATTTGTGTGTTCTAGACGCCCGAAAATAACATTTGAGGCGTTCTGGGCTATCATTTTTTTCTTTTTCTTTCTTTTTTTTAACCTCCCAAAAGGGGGAACCGGGGTTGGGCCACCCCTCTGTCCCCCTAAATCTGATTACCAATTATTTTGTATCACCAGAAGAGCAACCACATTCTGCAAACTTTGGAAAGCTGGTATAGATATTATTAGATATGTTGATGTACTGTAATTTCATTTCAAGGATCACAATATGAGCAACCGACATCATTATCATCTAATTATAATGTCTCAAGAAATCTTTTTTTTTTTTATTTGTCAATTATATAGACATTGATACAAGACGCTTGACAAAGAATATCAGGGAATGTGGAACTATGCTGGGCAAGGTATCTCACTTCTTCATATTACTAGTATTATAATTCTTATATTCAGTATAAAAGTAAACTTGTTATCCACTGTTTCTAATCACAATCCAATCCTGCTCTTCTTGCTTCTTCAGATTGTCATAGATGGAACCATTCCAGATTCTGTCACATTTTACGATCCAAATGCTGAACATTTGGTAGCACAAGTTTCTACAAGAGTAAGTTCTTTGTAGCTGGATACAGTTGCTTGTAGCAGGATACATTTACCTGTAGTAGGATACGTTTACCTGTAGCATGATACATTTACTTGTAGCAGGATATATTTACTTGTAGCACAAGTTTGCACCAAGATATTGTTTACTTATTGAACAAGCCATCAGTTCATTTATACTATCTTATTTGTTGAAATAATAAGCCTTTTATTAAATATATTATAGTTCTATATAATAAATACTGCTACCCAATAAATTTAGAAAATTATTTTAAAATTATATTTTTTTATATGCTCGGAACTAGGATTTTGTCTCCCAGGTCTAAAATGGAAATGGCACCCCTTTTCAACTCAGAGGTTCCATGCTCTGTAAAATTCATCAGGTGGAGCTGTGGACAATCGTGTGTGTTAGACTGAATACTTGTAAAATTAAGACTTACTAATTGCTAACAAAATTATATTGTCTTTTGTTATATTTCTGCATAGCAACCCACGATCTTTAACCCTGATGGTAAATTGAAAATTGTTGCAGTGGATTGCGGAATGAAAAACAACCAGATTCGATTAATGGCAAGAAAAGGAGCTTGCGTCAAAGTAGTGCCATGGGATCATCCAATCAGAAATGAAGGTAGGCTATTAAAGATCTGTTCACTCTCATCACTATCACAAATTTGTGTGATGTGCCCATATATGGGCATGATGGTATCATATTACTGTACATCCAAATATGGCCATCACATTTACTTGTCACATAAAATGTGGTAGTGTGGAGAATATATATATATATATAATCTACTATGTACACAGTGTGCAGCCTACTCCTTTTAGGGGTACAGTATTCTCAATCTTCTAAGAGTGTTTTACTTATACCAAATAAAAGCAAGCAATCACATCCTACAAGGTACCCACTCCTGTGTAGAAAGAAACAAATGCAGTTATGTGTGTGAGCAAGAATTCTTGTAATCATCTACCACCTATTTCCTCTTTCAGAATATGATGGGTTGTTTCTTAGCAACGGTCCAGGTGACCCAACAAAGTGCAGTGTGACCATTGATAACTTAAAAGCCATTTTGAACGAATCAAACCCAAAGCCAGTGTTTGGAATCTGTCTTGGTCATCAGCTCTGCTCCCTTGCAGCTGGAGCTAAATCCTACAAAATGAAGTAAGGTGATTTTTATTTGTCAAATAGACATGTTGTGACATTTTAAAATATTGGTTATACAGTACTTAATTTTTTTTATAGATTTTAATCCATTATTCCCCATTAAAAGAACTTAAATCATCTTAGTTATGTGCCAAAATTTCCAAATACTCAGTTTTCCGGATAGATCAACCACCTTACATAGTGGATACTCATTTTTTGAATTCATTTTTTTTTCCAGATATGGTAATCGTGGCCATAATCAACCGTGTACTCATAGCGGTACAGGCCGTTGTTACATCACCACTCAAAATCATGGTTTTGCTATTGATGCCAAGAACCTACCAGAGGAGTGGTCTGTCCTGTTCACCAATGCTAACGATCACACCAATGAAGGCATTGTACATAACTCCAAACCATTTTTCAGCGTACAATTCCATCCCGAACACATGGGCGGCCCACAAGATTTGGAATTCCTTTTTGATATTTTCCTAAACACAGTACTGGCGTACAAGGAAGGCGAGGGATCGCTTGGGTAAGTTGAGATTTTCATTAACGACAATTAACTGACCTTAATGTGATCCTCTGATGACCTTTCAATTAATTAAATGACAGCACCATGATGCATAGATTATAATACATTAAAAAGTATCCTACCTGATTCCATTTACATTTACCCTCTTCCTCTAGCATGACCGTCAAGGAACGCATTCAGTCCAAGATGGAGTACAACCCTAGATCCACTTCCAAGTTTCAGAATTCCAGACCTAATAAAGTGCTGATCCTGGGATCAGGTGGACTTTCCATTGGGCAAGCTGGTGAATTTGACTACTCAGGATCTCAGGTTAGTTTTTAGTATTTGTTAAAAGTCAATTTAAAGTTCTTTTTTTAGGAAGCAAGCTTTATGTACGTAACAAGCCTTGTGGGTGGTTGGGTTTCTTCTTGAATAACAATACCCTGGGTTTTTTCCCTTGCTATACCATAAAACCTTTGTCTTTTTTATCTTTTCAGGCCATCAAAGCTTTAAAAGAAGAAGGAATTGGATCTATCCTAATCAACCCCAACATTGCAACTGTACAGACATCAAGAGGAATGGCAGACAGGGTATACTTCTTGCCAATTACACCAGAATATGTTACACAGGTACGCAGCACTAAAAATTATAATTAATATTTTTTTTTAATTTTGTAACAAACTTATTTTTCATAATGCAGTTGACAAAACATTAACTATGATGTTTTCTGATTGGCCAATATTTATCATGTGATGCTGATGACTAAGTACATCTTAATTTCAGGTGATAAAGAGTGAGAGGCCTGATGGTATCCTACTCAATTTTGGGGGTCAAACTGGCTTAAATTGTGGGGTACAGCTACAACGACTCGGAGTTCTTGAGAAATACAATGTGGAGGTAATGGGCACACCAGTACAATCAATCATCAACACAGAGGATAGAAAAGTATTCGCAGACAAGATGGAAGAAATCGCGGAGAAAGTTGCACCGAGCGAAGCGGCCTACTCTGTTGAACAGGTAAGTGCTTCTGATCAGTATTTGAGGTTACTTTTTACTTGTTGACATTCTCAATATTAATTCAAATCAAATTTATTCAGCATCACATCAGAACAATTACAATACATATATAACAAAATTGCGGTAGTTAATGACAGTTTAATCATACCATTAAATGTGGCAGATGCCTATTATCATTGTTAATATTATTACAGTATTATTATGAAAATTACAGGATAATAATAGTATGTTAGACTTAATAGTGCTTTATGCCAACAAGGCTTAGCTCCCTTGGAGAATTCCATAATGTTGCAGCTGTAATTAGCAACTACCAGGCACCATTTTACTGCTAGGTGGAGAGAGACAACCTTAGGTAAAGTGCCTTGCCTAAGGACACAAGCAAAATGCACGTGGATGGATTGAACCTCGGGCCTCAAGGTTGAACCGCACTAATAATAATAAAAGAAGGTAAACATTTATACTGGGTGTTATTTAATCTACAGGCTGTTGCAGCAGCAGAGAGGATAGGTTATCCAGTTTTGGTCCGGGCAGCATTTGCACTTGGTGGATTAGGGTCAGGATTTGCTGACAACAAGGAACAACTGCTGAAGATCGCAACTGGAGCATTTTCTCATACCAGTCAAGTCTTAATCGATAAATCTCTCAAAGGATGGAAGGAGGTTGAGTATGAGGTCGTGAGAGATGCTTACGATAACTGTATCACGGTAAGCAGTTATAAAAAAACTTTTTGAAACATTTCAAAGAAATAGAAATATATAATCAAATGTTCTGTTAAAAAGAAAATGGATACAGCAGTGAGAATAGTATTATTTAAAAAATAATGTTTAATTAAATTTTATAAATCACCTAAAATTAAAAAATTTTTCCAGCTACAATATGAAATGTATTTACTTTTAAACTTTACTTACTATAATTCATGTGATTCACTTGAATAAATAAATATTCATTACTTTGTCTTGTAAGTATATAGTTTTGTTATCAAGAACAGATTATATGAAATAACATCCAATATCACAGGTTATTATCACTTACAACAATGTAATTGGATCTCGCATGTCATATGCATCGATAACACTAATCCTTGCAAACAGCTTACATTCCATGCCACCAAGAACACTAGCCTTGGAAAAAGAACTCCATCCATCGTGGATAGAGTTTTCACCTTTAGCGGACTATCAAAATAATTAATTAACATAATATGTTGATTTGATAATAACATACATACATTACATACATGAGATTAATGAAATTTATTTAAATTCAATTGATGAATGATTGATATTTTTTATTATTGTTTATTTCCATAGGTGTGCAACATGGAAAATGTGGATCCTTTGGGAATCCACACGGGAGAATCAATTGTTGTGGCACCGAGTCAAACTCTCACCAACATTGAATACAACATGCTGCGTACTACAGCCATCAAGGTCATCCGCCATCTTGGAATCATCGGTGAATGCAACATCCAGTATGCACTCAATCCCATGTCGCAAGAGGTACGTAAATGATATCATTTTATTATTTTCTTGTATGAAATGTATTGATAGTTTTAAGTTTGTGAAACCATTTGCTCTTATTGGATGTAATTTTCTCTGGGGGAAAAAAAATTATTATGTTCTACAACTGATTTTTCTAAGACAAAAAGGGTGTTTGATGGAAAACTTGGGTCAATAAAAATTCTTCTCAGATAAGTTTATAAAATCAGTCCAGGTCCAGTGTACATACCTGGCTTGTGTGTGTTTTATGAAAGAATAGAAGTTTACCCCCAATGCTGTGGCTTAATTCAGCTCCAGCTACAAGTGCCTCTTAATAGGTGCTATGGTAGTCATGGGTGATGGCCGTGTTCAATTCAGTACAATGGCGCTGTAATTATTAATTATTCTCCTACCTTTAAAAACAAAAAATAATATATATCTGAAATAATTCATAAGTTCCTGCATCAGTGAAGCAATAATCCCAATTTGTCTTGCAGTATTTCATCATCGAGGTAAATGCACGTTTGTCAAGGAGCTCAGCCTTGGCCAGTAAAGCCACAGGTTATCCACTAGCCTATGTTGCTGCCAAGCTCTCTCTAGGAATTCCTCTACCACGTCTACGTAACACGGTCACCAATGAAACCACTGCCTGTTTTGAGCCTAGCTTGGATTACTGCGTGGTAAAGATTCCTCGTTGGGATTTGAATAAGTTCAACAGAGTCAGCACAAAGGTCAGTTACAATTTGGTCCTGGTGCAAAGGTTATTTCAATTTGATTAATTTAGCTTGGTCATAGTTCAATGGCCAGTTGGATTTGATTCATGCAAATGAGGTTCAAAGATCAATGATTGTTGTATCTAAAATAAACATTAGTATTTGTGTAAGCTTTGTTTTGATAAATTCGATCTACTTTTCTACTCTTAGATTGGCAGCTCAATGAAAAGTGTGGGTGAAGTGATGGCTGTTGGTCGTAAGTTTGAGGAAGCTCTTCAGAAGGCTCTACGGATGGTAAATGAGAACACAGGTGGTTTTGATCCAGGGACAGATCAACCAACAGATGAGGTAAGGTAGCCACCAACAGTGGCATAACCAGGGGGGGTCATCACAGTGCCTGAGCACCCCTTTTTTCAAATGTGGAAACAGTAATAGTAAGTTAATGGAAATAAATGGCAAAGTATAAGTTAATGCTAGACGTTAACCAAATTATGATTAAGTAACAACCATCGATATGACCAGTCCAAGTTTTGCACCTTGTATAAAGTTCAGTGAATGTAATATTTCTATAAAGCACCCATTTTCAAAATTTACTATTCACAGCTACTGAGCATGCCCACAGACAAGCGAATCTACATCCTTTCTGCTGCCTTGCATGCTGGCTATTCCATTGATCGCCTCTACTCCCTCACGAAGATTGATCCTTGGTTTCTGCACAAAATGAAGAATATTGTTGACTTGAATGGACGTCTGAAAGCCTACCAGGAAAAGGAGCTGCCAGTTGATGTTCTATTGGAAGCTAAGCAACTTGGCTTCTGTGATAGACAAATTGCTAAGGCCATTATGAGGTACGGAAACAATTAGTTTACAGAGGGAAGAATAATTGTTTTGGAAGGTTCTACAGTAATATTTAAGCTCACATGTTTTCCTATCTGGATTGTTGTAAGGTTTTTTACCTATATAAATGGATAAATTACTGAAATTTAGAATGAAAGTATTTGTATTTTCTTTTTATATCTTGTTAGCACCGAATTAGCAGTCCGAACAATGCGCCAGAACTTTGGAATCAAACCATTCGTGAAGCAAATTGACACAGTAGCAGCTGAATGGCCGGCAAGCACAAACTATCTTTACCTGACCTATAATGGTACATCCCATGACCTCGACTTCCCCGGAGGTTATGTGATGGTGATTGGTTCAGGAGTTTATCGTATTGGAAGCAGCGTGGAATTTGATTGGTGCGCTGTTGGATGTATTACAGAACTCAGAAAGGTATGTGCTGCAGAAAAATCCCAACATGGAACATTTACATGTCTGCTGAAGGTCTGTGAAGACTATCAAACTCTGTGGCAAAAAAAAACTATTGTATCCCTCCATATATATATGTGCCTATATATGGTCATGATGTGCCTATATATGGTCATGATGTGCCTATATATGGTCATGATGTGCCTATATATGGTCATGATGTGCCTATATATGGTCATGATGTACCTATATATAGTCATGATGTGCCTATATATGGTCATGGTGTGATGTCATAATGGCTATATTTAGGCATGTCAAATAATAGTCTGGACTGAACTTTGTTGACATTTTGTATGCAAATTGCACCAGTTTATTAATGAATATTCATTTATGTTTATGTGAACTGTCAGACTAAAGCTACATTTACACTAGGCACAATAACACAACAACAACATGTCATTGCATCGTTTCTTCAACACTGAGGGATTTTGATCATGTCTAGTGTAAATGGAGCTTAACATAGTGAACCCTGTGATATTTAAAACAGTGTTAAATTTGATCTTTGACCTTTTACATGCAAATTAATTTTGTTAATGAATATGCAATATACTTGTTTTTGATAATGATTAATTGTTTTTGTTTAGATGGGCTATCAAACTATTATGGTGAACTATAACCCAGAAACTGTGAGCACAGACTATGACATGTGTGACCGACTATATTTTGATGAAATCTCGTTTGAGACTGTGATGGACATTTACGAAGCTGAAACGCCAGAGGGCATCATCTTATCCATGGGAGGTCAACTGCCAAACAACATTGCGATGGCACTGCATAGGCAACAGGTCAGTTGATCATATTTTTTAGATTTTGAGTATCAATAACTTGTCATATTCTTTATAAGGAGTTTTGAATGTTGAATTTTACGTATATTTATATGCCACCTTTTCCATAGCTCTCAGAGAAACTTATTCCGTATTACTTTCTCATCCCAAACAGACTCCTGCCAATTACACGCATCTAGTCCACGGCACAAGCTATACCAGAACCCTTGCTCTTTTCAAAAGATGCATCACAGTTTATTATGCAATGTTTTTTTAATGTTAATTAAATAATCAAACATATTTTTATTTCTCTAAGCTGTATGAGGCTAGATTAATCAGTCACTGCCGGATGAGAAAGAAATAAAATGAATATGTATATGAACATATTTTTTTGTTTCTTATCACTTCAGTGTACAGTACTTGGAAGCTCCCCTGAGTCTGTTGATAATGCAGAGAACAGGTTCAAGTTCTCTCGAATGTTGGACCATGTTAACATCAGCCAACCTCAGTGGAAGGAACTAACCAATTTAAACGTAAGCATTTACTCTGTGGTATCAAATTGATTTTAACAAAATCGTATTGAAGTTTGCCTGCAGACCAAACATGTAATTTATGTATGAAATATAACAAACAAAGTCTATTTCAAAAAACCAGATGAATTTGTTTCAACAAACTATATATTGAAAAATTACATATTTTGAGAATTAAAAATAAAATATTGCATTGACTTAATACAGTATATGTATACATGCCTGCTTAGTAACTTAAACATGCATTATATTTAGGGTTGAACACGATTTTAATCACACTGTTATTGCTACCTAAGTTGTTTGAAAATGTTAATGCTTACGATTTACAGGAAGCTAAGGAGTTCTGTGACCGTGTAAGCTACCCTTGCCTGATTCGTCCATCCTACGTCTTGAGTGGAGCTGCCATGGCAGTAGCTCACACTGACTTTGATCTTGAGATGTACTTAAACAATGCTGTTGCCGTCTCGAAGGAACACCCAGTAGTCATCTCAAAGTTCATCCAGGAAGCCAAAGAAATCGATGTTGATGCTGTTGCCAGTAATGGAAAAGTCATTGCCGTGGCAATATCGGAGCATGTGGAGAACGCAGGAGTGCATTCTGGAGACGCTAGTCTGGTGACGCCACCTCAGGATTTGAACCAGGAGACCATCGATAAGATCCTTGCCATCGTGAATGCCATTGGCAGGGCTCTGGAGGTTACTGGCCCATACAATCTCCAACTTATTGCAAAGGTATTGAGAGTACATTTACTTTGTGTATGATGGTGTATAAATAATAGTTTGTTATTTATTAGTATTATTTTGTTTTATTTTAATTTAATTTCTTTTTATTAGGTTATCATTAGTAAGGGTCTTGTTATTATCACTTTGATTATTAGTATGATTATTACTCAAGATTATCAAATATTTTTAGTATTGTGATTATTTTTATTTAGCACAATATATCAAAAACATGAAGCATCCCATACATTATACCATGTAGACATTTTGGCTGCAATTATCTTCATCCAAATAATATGAATTTCAATTGTTTACCTTATTTTAAATTTCATTTGCTATTTTTGGAAAAACACAGTAAAATCATTAAAGCTTATTATTTCAAGGAATTAATCATTTGCTGTTTTTTCTGTTTTAATTTCAGGACAACCAGTTAAAGGTTATAGAGTGTAACCTCCGTGTCTCTCGCTCGTTTCCATTTGTTTCCAAAACTCTTGGGTATGACTTTATTGCCATAGCAACTAGGGTGATAATGGGTGAAAATGTTGAACCAATTAAATGTCTGATAGAATGTGGAAAAGTAGGAGTAAAGGTATGTACAATAGAACAATTACCTTCAGCTGAGACTGCCTTTTTATTATTAATAATATAATAATTTTTTTTGTCATATACATTGTGCTATTCTCCTTGAATATATAAATGTCTTAAGAGCTTCATATATTCTGGATGAATAATAGGTGGATGGATGATGGGTAATAATAGAAGATGGATAGATAGGATGAATAATGTATGAATAATAGGGGGATGGATGGTTGATAATAATAGATGATGGATAGATAGGATGAATGATGGATGGGTAGATAGATGAATAATAGGTGGATGGATGATGGATAATAAATAGATAGTGGATTGATAGAAGGATGAATGATGGATGGGTAGGTGGCTGAATGGATGAATATTGAAGGATGGATGGATGATGAATAAATGATCATATGAATGAACAAACAAATAAATGCATGTATGAATAATGGATTAGTGGATGGATGGATGAATGAATGCATAGAGAGATGGATGAATGATGGATTGAGCTAGGAATGGTGGATGAATGAACAAAGTATGTAATAAGAAGAAAGAATGGATTAATAAACAGGTGAATGCATGGATATGTATGAATGAATAGATAAAGGAATGATAAAGGATGAATACATTTTTAAGGTAGTTATTTTATTATATTAAAATGCTTAAATGAAATTTCTAAAAATTTTCAGGTGCCTCAGTTTTCTTTCTCTCGTCTTGCTGGAGCTGATACATTGCTTGGCGTTGAGATGTCAAGTACTGGAGAGGTTGCAGGATTCGGTGAGAACCGATATGAGGCATACCTCAAAGCTATGCTCAGCTCCGGATTTAAAATACCAAAAAAGAATATCTTATTGTCAATTGGGAGTTACAAGGTATGTATGTGACTGTGGTCACTAAAATGTAGCCATCATATAATATTATGTATTTTCATTGAGCATCCATTCCAGTAAACTTGTTTACTCCAGTAAACTTGTTAACAAGTAATAATAATAATAGATGGATTAACTGTATATAGCCCAAATAAACGAGGTCTCTATGCACTCGGGACTAAATGTTGCACTTTTCAATAACTTTCTCCTCCCCTGAGGGTCACTACATGTCCTCTGCAGCCAGTAAACCGGCACAACCCCCTACTCATTTCGAAAGATGTACTGGGTTCTTTAAAGTACATATGAGCATTTTTGTACACTGGGCCTACGGTTTATAGTCCTTATCCGAGAAGACTTGTTCCACTACCAGAAATATAGGAGGGAGCCAGCCGTGAACCCGTGCCGATATTGTTGGCTATGATCACGGTGCCCCTGCCAAGTGTCCCGCAGGTAGCAAGAGCCCTGGAAATCGGGACAGCCTCCCACACTCCTGCAAGCACACAAAATCCCCAACAAATTAACTCATCTCCCACATAATATTTGCATATTTTTACTTTTTATTATCAATAATCTTTCGGTATTTAGTGATTCAGATGTGTTAAGAAAACTCATTTAACTATTTCTTCCAAATTGGGACCCCTGGTGAGTCCATAAATTTACTGGTAATTTTTCTTGACTTGTACAGTGGAAAGTGGAGATGTTGGGGGCAGTGAGAACAATGGAAAACATGAAGTACAGCCTGTATGGTAGCATGGGAACTGCTGACTACTACGCTGCACAAGGTGTACAGGTAGGAATCTAAACATATCTAAAATAACTCTAAATTATTTAATACTAAGTTCCCTTAAATTTTTTGGGGGTGCTAGATTTGTTCATAAATATTTACTGCACATTGATGTTTTGTCCCCTTTAGAAATCACATACCAAATAGCACATAACACAAAAAAAAATTCCTTCCCTGTATACCCAGTTGAAGTTTTTGTTTTTTCATCTTCCTTTTTCTTCTTGCTTTTGTTGGATAATTGCAATATTCTTTTATCTTAACTGCAAGAAGTAAGCTTTAAGGTGGTGAACCACATTTGGCTCTTAGGGGGTGTCCCTTAAACCCAGTGCTCAGAACCTCCCTTTTGCATATACTGGCTACAGGCCTGGCATTCCATAGGGGGATAGAATCTTGCCAATTGTTGTTACAGTTAACAATCTAACAATTATCCCTGTAACAGCGTTTTGGGTGCTGGCTTGGAGTTTTTCTTTCCTAGTTTTTTACATCTGTTCACTTGTTTTTACCAGTAGAGACCCTTGTACTGTGCCAGGTATATATCTAAATAAATGCATAAAATACAGTTTAATGTTTTTGATTTTTGTAGGTTACACCTGTTGATTGGCCGTTTGAAGAGGAGGAGGAATCGGGACAAAAAAATGCACCTCAGCGAAACATCGCTGATTACATCATGGATAAACACTTTGATCTGGTCATTAACTTACCGATGCGTAATGGTGGGTCACGTCGAGCTTCCTCATTCATCACCAAAGGATACCGTACCAGACGTATGGCCATCGATAAGGAGATCCCTCTTATAACTGATGTGAAGATCGCAAAACTGTTCATTGAGGTGTGTAAAAATTATGTGCAAATTTTTAACAAATGTATCTTAGGTACCAGTGATCATTTAAAATTACGTTTTATTCTTTAAGGACTTTCTTTTTCTGTTGTTCTTTACTCAACACTTGCTTCAACCAGTAGCTTTCTTCTGCTCTGCTCTTTTTCTATTTTTTATTTATTTTTTTTTTTGCTGCCCTGCTTACAGCAAATACTCTGTTTTGAGAAAAAGAGATTACATGATTTTAAAAATACAGTGTTTTTCCATTTCAACTGACCTCAAACAAATTTCTGAGCCTGTACAGATTTAACTTGATCTGTTTCACTAGGTTTATTAGCATAAGAATTATGCACCGACCATAGAATCAGGCCTGCAGGACAAGAAGCCCTATCCTGGTACAGTTAAAAGTTCTTGTATTGGTCTTTTTTATTTTCAATTTCAATTTTTGTTATACTTGGACCACCCAATTGCATACTAAAAGCAATTATGAATGTAAAGGTGATGGTTAATCTTCATTCATCCAAAAATAGAAATGAATAGTAGCTCGCTATAATTACAAATAGTATATTTACATTATTGTATAGTAATGTTGCACTGTTTGAGTCTCTCTAATTATTTATTATTATTGTTATTAATAATTATTGTTATTAAAATAATTTGTATTCAATATTCATCTTTATTGTTACATTCCAATCAGGCATTACGTAGGGTTGGTGGCTCTCCTAGCGTATCAACTCACATTGATTGCATGGCGTCTAACCGAATCATCAAGTTGCCTGGTCTCATAGATGTTCACGTTCATCTTCGCGAGCCTGGCTTCACCCACAAGGAGGATTTTGCCTCAGGAACTGCTGCTGCGCTGGCTGGTGGGATCACGCTTGTTGGTGTGATGCCAAATACAAGCCCGACTGTCACAGATCAAGCTTCATTCCTGCTAGCCCAGAAGGTAGGTCAGGAGACATAGCTAATTAAAATACCATCCTGTCATGCATGCATATTGTTGATTTTGTGGTTCATTAGTAAGAATTAAGCTTAGGAGCAGAAATTCAATGGTTTGTATGCTAACAAGTTATGATACTATATTATAATTACCTTGCCCTCTGGTGGGCATGTAAAGTTGTTGGTTCTATGTATATAATAGTTCTACACAATAACTCGAGTTTTTTATTTTAATACATTTGCAGTTATTTAAAACTTTTAGTAAATGTTGTTGGTAAACTGACCAATCGGAAATGTTTTTTTTTTTTTTTGTCAAATGGATAACTTATTGCAAATTAACAATGTACAAGGTGCGTTGTGGATAAATAATTTCCTGCTTCGTTCTGTATTGTAAATAAATTTTGGTGGTGTGAAATCCATGGTAGTTTTTGAAGTATGTTATTATGTATTCATATTAATTCATATTTTTTTCGGCATTGTTTAATTTTAGCTCGCGCGAATTGGCGCTCGATGTGATTATGCCCTCTATGCTGGTGCTGGACCGAATAATTGGGAAGAACTTCAGAAGATTGCGACATCGTCTTGTGCCCTTAAGATGTATCTGAACGAAACGTTTTCCACCTTGATGTTGGAAGACCTCACTATCTGGAAGAAGGTAAACAACTCATTTTTCCTTAAAGTTTATTGGAATTTGTATAGTGTTTGCATTATTATAAATGGCAGTAACAAATTTTATCAAGGTTTTATATATAATAGGAAAAAAAAGAATATAATAAAAATGATATTAATGACGCCAAATAAAGAGTTCTTTAACTTTTGTTATTTGTAGCATTTTGAGAACTGGCCAAAACACATCCCAATTTGTTGCCATGCTGAGGGCAAGACAACAGCAGCCATTTTGTTCATGGCGAAGATGTTTGATCGGTCTGTTCATATTTGCCATGTTGCCAGAAAAGAAGAAGTAAGTCTTATAATTTATTTTAACAATGAGATTCTCTCCTAATGTTTCTTAGTACTTAGAGTGGAGTTGAAAAAGATGCTTGCTTTCTAATCCCATGGTCCTGGGTTCAATTCCTGTCACAGTAATAGGATTTCTTCTCACGACCAAAAACAACTCCAATCCCTATAATCCTCATGAGACTTACAGTAGTCTATGTAGAGCATTTTGTGTGTGTGTGTTTCTTGCAATGGGATTGCCACTTAAAAGTGATTTAAGTTCACTGTTAAGTTCTATCTTTGGCCCTAGTGCCTAAAGCTGAGTAAAATAACAAACTAAAAAAAATGTTAATTGTGTATTAGTTATTTTTCAAACGCCACCTATCATAATTACGTTTTTAAATGTCTACACTGTGTTGTGTTGACACCTATGCTATATATTTCCTCATATGATTTCATACAACTTTTTCCTTATTTCAGATTGAGATGGTAAAATTAGCCAAAGAATCTGGCATGCAAGTGACCTGTGAGGTGACCCCTCATCACCTCTTTTTAACCAATGAAGACCTGGATGTCATAGGTCATGCCAGAGGTCAGGTCAGACCAGTATTGTGTTCGAATGAAGACCAGCAGGCCTTGTGGGACAATCTGAAGCTCATTGATTGCTTTGCTACAGATCATGGTGAGTTGTGTGACCACAGGGTTTGCATTCAATTACAAACACTTTTGACAACTTAACAACCATTACATTTGCAATCAGGCTTGGAAAGAAAAGTTTGTGCCACCGACCATGAAAATTGTCTCAATAAAATTTTTCCAGTTTATACTAACTATATTATAATAGAAGGTATTTTATGTACCGTTAAAGATATTTAAGATCTATTATTTGTCCTTTACAATATATTTGCATTTTCTTTACATAAATTTAATAATAATATCATATAATGAAATATTTTGTTGGCAGCACCTCATACAGTAGAAGAAAAAGACTCGACCAAAGCACCTCCTGGATATCCTGGACTGGAGACTATGCTGCCCCTGCTGCTAACTGCTGTAGATGAAGGCAAGCTAACATTGGAGGTTAGTAGTACTGTATGTCTGTCTGTCTAATGCTGGACACTCACTGCCCCCAGCGGGTGTTGCATCGTCTAGGGCTCATAGGGAGTGGAGTTAGTCATTGTACAACGCAGAAAATGCCCGGCTTGACATGTTTTAACATGCTTAAGCTTGTGTAGTTCAACGGTAAATCATCAGTGGTGGTAAGGTGGAAATTCTCATTGGGTGCCAGTTAAGATTGTAAACATTTTTCTTTCTCTTCAGGATATTATCCAGCGTCTCTATACCAATCCTCGTCGCATCTTTGGATTCCCAGAGCAGAAAGACACGTACATTGAGGTAGACTTGGATCAGGAATGGTGCATTCCAAATCACATGACCTACACAAAAAGCAAATGGACTCCCTTTGCTGGACGCAGTGTTAAAGGAATGGTCCGCCGAGTTGTTTTACGTGGTGAAGTAGCCTATGTGGATGGAAGGGTGAGTAACCAAATTTAGCACATGTCTTATAAATCAGATTTATTTCAGTGAAAATAAAAGAGGTTAGGATCTGTTTTTGCGTAGAAAACCAAATTCTTTAAATATGAATAGTGATAATAATAATGATGGTAATTGTGGTGGTGATGATGATAAGGTTAATTAAAAATTTAAGAACAATAACATTAATAATACCCACATTTTAGAAGCACGTTGAAGATTATTTTATTATTTTAAATTTAATTTTCTGCTTGTACTTATGGCTTCACATCCCTTCAATAAAAGTTTGATTAGTAAATATATTTAAAAGAAAAATAAATTAATTATTTTTACATTTAAATTGCATTCAACTTCAAATGTCTTTTAGGTTTTAGTGCCAACTGGTTTTGGAAAGGATATCCGTAGTGCTCAAGATGGTTTCCCAACTTCCCAACCACTGACAGTGCAAGTACCAGGACCTTCTCCGCTTCCTTTACCAGGATCTGTGCCATCTTCAGCACCATCATCTCCTCGTAGAAGTGAAAGATTCACCTTGCCGCCCAGAGTACACAGAGTGTCAGAATCTGGTGCTGGTGGAGGTTAGTCGGCAGAATTTGTGTAAATATAACAATAATAATAATAAATTAATTTGATATAATTTTTATATCCATTACCGTAAATGCTTGAATAAACACAGTGGCTGTTTTACAATTTTGGAGGCTTCAGTGCGACACTTATACAAAGTATTGCCGTGGCGCTTTCCATGCTCATTCCAAAGTTACCTATCTCACGTATTCCTGTAGTTTGGTATTTCTAACATAGGTCCTGCATCATCGTAAATAAACGTTTATAAAGAAATGCTTGTGTTGTTTATTAATTTTAACACTGTACATTGTATTCAAAACCCAGTTCCTTAAAGTGTTTCTTTACACGCACGGTAATAATATATGCGCTTATTCCAGAGCAGCACCGGCACTTACCAAACAAAAATCAGGTTTAGTGCGGTGCTTATTTCGAGCATTTACAGTAATTTTGATATTGTTCCTCTATTATTAATTACCTTATATTCTCGACTCATTTCATTTTTATTAAGTTTTCTATGTCAGCATTTATGTATGACTGAGCTTCCTAATCTTTGTATAGGATTTGTAATTAATATGATATTATCAACTTGTTCTTAGATGCAGCCAACCTAACTGGACTGCTGTCACCTCCTCCTGGACCTAGCAGTACTGGACGAGCCTTGTTTCTCACCCCAACTTCTACAGGCTCTACTCCTCAAGGTGGCGGACATTACGCCTTGGTGCCAGCCATGTTGATGCCTAGCGAACTTAAGCACAGTCTTGTTGGCAAGCATATTCTGAGTGCTGCTCAATTGACCAAGGAACATGTGAGCAAGTTTTTATGATATTCATAAGCAATTGGTATTAGTACATTGATTTTGTAATATTTGTTTTATCTGGTTGTTTTACAAACTTGTTGATGAATAAAGATTAGATATAGATAATGAATTGGTTTACAGACCAGAAAGTATAGGAATGGAAAGGCAATGGAAAGTAAGAGAAATAGATATGACATGAAATGTAATGATGAAATCCATTTACATATACCAACCAATCCAATACATATACCAACATATAAACAGCAGCATTAGAAAGACAGGTAAACACAGATGGAAAGTTACGCTTAACAGAGCAGCGAGTGAAAGGTTGTTACTGGTGATCATAGTAATGTTGATGTTAGGAGCAGTCTGATGCACCAGTTGCAGTTCTGTTTCTCAAGCTTATGTGTTTTACTGTATTGTGAAATAAATTATTCTGATTTTTTTTTTTACTCTAATATCTGGAACATTTGTTTGTAGCTTCATCATCTGTTCAATGTTGCACATAACATGAGGTTGATGGTGCAAAGAGACCGACCACTGGACTACATCTTAAAGGTATGCACAGTTTTCAATGTTTTCACTGTCTTACCTCCTCTTTCACATCCCTAATGTGTTAAGCAACAGTACTGCTGTCACTGAAACAGCTGCAGGTTATATAATGTCACTATTTTCACTGCCGTTATATCATCACCACACCAATGTCACTAATCAGCAACATATTTATTGTCAACATTCTCAATATTTTTAAAATCCAGACTTGTAATGAATTTATCTTGTTACTCTAAGATATATTGTTATATTTAGGGCAAAGTAATGGCGTGTATGTTCTATGAAGTGAGCACCCGTACTGCCAGCTCTTTCCAAGCAGCGATGCAGCGGCTTGGTGGAAGCGCCATTATTCTCAATCAAGCTTTCTCTTCCCACAAGAAAGGCGAAACATTGGCAGGTCAGTTCTCAAATTCTCTTTTTTTGTTGATAGACTGCAAAATACATTAACCACACAGGGATAGAATCCCATATGTTGATAAACATGTTGCAGGCCTAAAAAAAACTTTTGTAGTAATGGTGGAGCAAAAATTACACATGTAGCTATCATTTTTGTCTTTCAGATACAACTCAAGTGATGGGTGGTTACTGTGATGTGATAGTAATTAGACACCCTGAACCAAACGCAGTACAGACTGCAGCCCAGCATTGCCGCAAACCGGTGATCAATGCAGGTGATGGTGTTGGGGAACATCCCACGCAGGCACTGCTGGATGTCTTCACCATCAGAGAAGAGATTGGTACCGTCAATGGACTTACGGTAAGTATTTTTAGCCAAAGGATCACCTTAAAAGCCTAATGATTTGTCATGGCCCTGTCAAATACAATATTCAAATGTAAATAATATGATTGAAGGAGAGTCAATATGATTTTGAGGCCCCTAATAATCATCTAGAGTATAGCCGATCTATTTGCAGAGATTGTTTTCTGAAGATACCATAGCTGGTGGTCTTCCACTTGGAGATTATTATACACCTGCTACAGATGTAGATATTGGAATTATAGTGTGTACAGAATGTTTTCATTATAATTTATTTGAAATACTTCACACCACCATACAATCCATGGACATGAAATGCAGGGGAGGTACCGAACAATGGAAGCACCAATAGAGAGCGCCTTTCGTAGTTGAATTTCTCTATACCACCACTTGGACACCATTGAACACTAAGAATAATTAACACAATTTTTAAATCCTTTATTCTTATTTTGTGCCTTAGATTACAATGGTGGGAGATCTGAAGCATGGTCGTACAGTACACTCACTTGCTCGATTGCTGACACTTTACCGTGTTAAACTACGCTTTGTTTCACCAAAAAATTTGCGGATGCCAGACAAAGTCATTGCATATGTAAAAGAAAAGGGAATACAGCAGGTAAATTTTCATTATATGCTTTTGAATTGATCTGTGTTTTCTTTGGCAGTAGATTGTTACCAAGAATGAGCCTGTTGACTTTGTTTCTGAATATTTTAATTACGTTGTTTTGCCTTGGAATGGCGACATCATTTCATTGATACCTGGATCGGGGATTTTCTTGTATGAATGCAACAGTGAGCACGTATGTTATTAATCTGGATCTTGTCAACCTTTAGGGTGTGTGTAGCGCTAACCGTTAGTATGTATGTGAGAACGCCCGATTGGTTAGGAAGTTGACCACATTTCTACAATTAACCAGAAGTATGCATGTCCTATTGGCCATGGATCCCACCATCTGGCCATCCCAGGGCAAGACAACGTAACTGCTACAGTATTATATTTTTGTGCAGTTACGTTGTTTTGCCTTGGAATGGCAACATCATTTCATTGATACCTGGATCAGGGATTTTCTTGTATGAACACAACAGTGAGCACGTATATTATTAATCTGGATCTTGTCAACCATTAACTGGTGTGTGTGGGTGTGTGTATGGGTGCGTGTGTGTGTGTGTGAACATAGCCGAATTTACATTACCTCCAAATTATAGTTTAATTTACAATAGCTGGGGGAATGAGGTGGTATAAGGTGAATTTTATATACTCAAGTGTAATTTTTTGCTCTGTTAATTTTCAGCAGGAATACATTTTCCTTAGTATTGCATCCTCATGCCCCCAGATAAGTTGTTGAGATCATCAGATAATTTAATTGTTGCTAATGGGACAGTACTTTGTTTTAAATCATATTGTTGTGGCTAACATTGCAGGATGAGTTTAGCTCTCTTGAAGCTGCCCTACCAGACACCGATGTCTTGTACTTAACTCGCATCCAGAAGGAAAGATTTGCCTCAGAAGAAGAATATGAAAAGGTATCGGTTGTTGATTTTTTCTAAGATCAATTAATTGTTTAAACTAAACAATTTGAAAACTACATAAAAATCCTCTATTTCGATAGTTTCTTAAATGTTGTGTCAAGCATAGATGTATAATCTAGCCTTTAGCACAGTGCATTGATGGAATTAATGTACACAATCAATCACAGAGGGCTTATTGTCAATCAATAAATTATTTTTTTTTAAGTTTTTAAAAATTTGTAAACAATTTCTATTCATTTGCAGTCTGTTGGTCAATTTGTTTTGACCCCCAACATAATGACACGTGCCAAGGAAAAGATGGTGGTGTTGCATCCTCTACCAAGAGTTAATGAGATCAGGTAAGGTGTATTTATATTTTTATATAGTATGAGGACAAATCATGTTTATTATTCTCTTGATGCCTTTGGTTTAGGTGTCTGCTGTAGATTTGTCTCTTTGGAGTCCATTGGCGCTGATTTCCAATCGATAATACAGCATTAAACTCATGAAATATTGTGAATTTGCGGGTGAAGGGTTATTTTCCTAGAGATCCTTGCTTTCAGGAGACCTGGGACCCCTGCATTTGATTGTGTTTCTGTAGTAGTAATCATTCTTTTTTTATCGCAGTCCTGCAGTTGATCGTGACCCAAGAGCAGCCTACTTCCGTCAAGCAGAATGTGGCATGTACGTCCGAATGGCTCTTCTGGCACTGGTCCTGGGAAAGTGCTGAATGGTGTATGTATGACCATGGCATGTCTGGTGATCAGAAAGTGCAAGATGTTGCAACAAAAATATTTACTTAAATGTCTTTTAATGAAAAAAAACAAGCAGCAGCTAAACAAGCTTAAAATTAAGGCACTGCTTAGAATAACTACTGTACTGTACATTGTATTTTGCTTCAATTTTCTAAAGACTAAACAATAAAAAATCAATTGTATTAGGAATTCTAATCTAATCTAATGATCATGCTATTTGAGGTGTTAAAACTCATTAAGACACAAAAAGCATTCCGTGAAAGAATATTATGGTGGTGGTATTTCTAGTTAAATAATAGTACAGTATAATATTAAAGCACAGCCTGTACGCACAAAGACTGGAAGAGTAACTGTTTGCACTCAGGAATGATAACCAAACCCAACGATTTAATCTATATATTAATTTCAATGTTGTTGTATCAAGCCACTGCACAATTATGCTTTAAATGAGCAAATAAAGATAATATCTTATGTATACAACTGTCTTCTTTTTTATTCATCTTTAACAATGAGCTCCAGGAAAATAATTTCCCTTTCTTTTTATTACTTTTTTAGTACTATTACTCAGAAAATGTTTTACTGTATGAGGTATGAGATTCGTTCTGGTAGATCAGTGATAAAAAAAAATAAAGGCCCATTTCAATCGGGGTATAGCTGAAATTACGTAGTCACCAATATTTTTACTGAAATGTCCTTCAGTGATTTGTAAAGAAGCAGCAGCTACAAAAGTTTAAAATCAAGCCACTACTTAAAGCCTTTTCCAGATTTTATTTGACAAAAACATGTGACAGACATCATGTCTGTATATGGGCATACAACAGATTTATTCCAATAAAATTTGATAGTCTAACCACAGCTTAAGAATAACCATTGCACTGTACAGTACTTAATATTATGGTGGTGGTGTCTTTGGATAAATAACAGTACAGTAGTTCTCAAAAAAGGAAGCTTTCGATTGCACGACAGTAGATGGAACGTAATGACGTCACTAAAAGTCATCTGCGTATGCGAAAATGTTATCTTCGTCACATGGATTTTAGGATGCAATTTGCCATGGCCATGTATGCAGAGAATGTAGGACTGTCACACATGAGTGATTCCGTTCTAGCGTCGAAATCGAAAGCTCCCTAATATTAAAGCACAATCCAGTGGTGGATCTAGAGGGGGTAAACAGGATGGCTAGCCACCCCACTTCAGTGACATGAAAAAAAAAATTTTCACTCGTCTTGTGTGTGTGCTTCTCATGTATACATGTTACATGTAGTAGTCACGAAGATGCCTGAAAATTGTGGAAATGAACTGCATAAATGACCCAGGTTTTAACTAAAGTGTGCTGTACAACTAGTACTCATCTCTGCTTACAAACATCTGAATTACTGTACTTATAATACATGACTCCAGTGCGAAATAGCGTGTAATAATAATTATATTAGTTTTCGGCACACGAAGGAGGTAAAATAAATTTAAAATACATTAAAGGCAATTGAGTTTTATTTTCAGTGGAACATCGCAGCAATTAACTAGATTCTCCAGATGTTCCCAACTCAGCCTTTAGGCTTTGAAGTAGGTAAGCCTAAGGTAAATACATTAAAGACAATGTTTTTAATTGTTTTTTTCTATTACGTCACACATATTAATTAGAAATCGATGGTTGCAGAAAATCATCATGAAAAATTTGTTGGCACAACTCACAAAATGTCCTCACCTTTCCAAACACATCTGCGCCCTTGGCAAAACCACCCGACCCAGCTTGGTGCTTAGCAAATCGCATTATCCACCCCCTATTGCTAAATCCTAGATCCACCACTGCAAACTGAACACTCAGGAATGATATTTAAATCAAGCGATTTGGCTATATATTAATTTCAATGTTGAGCCACTTCACTTTACAATCACTTTAAATGAGCAAATAAAAGTAATATCTTCTGTATACAACTGTCTTCTTTTTTATTCATCTTTAAATAAAAGGTTTGAAAACTATAAATCCAACACCTAGCTTATAAAATATTTAACAGCAACACTGAACATTATTGTAATAAATACTTTTGCATATACTGTAACAATAAATACTTTGAAATTTAATTAAATATGGATAAATAATTTCATTATCATCCCAGTTGTGGGAACTTGTTTTTTTAGTAAGCAAGTAGTCACTTGAACTTTAGAGTTCTACTTATTGCAAGTTTCAATTATTATTTTAAATTCTTTTATTGATTTTATAATGATTCAAATTCAACTTAATTGTAGTTGATTTCATATGCAATCAAAAATAAAAACATTAACTGCATTATTGAATTCAGGACTAAATAAGATTGGCTCAAATCTTCGGCAGGCCTGTGATCACACTGAAGTAAAGAAGGATGATAGCGACCTCTTCATCTGCATCAATTCTTGGTGTTTCTAAAATAAGAAATATACAAATGAATTAAACTGTCTGCAAAAGAAAAAAAATACTTGATAGCAATGTATATACACATCTTTCTTTTTGCAACCGTCAATGATGTATAGTTGTATACTTACTGAATCTTCTAGAAGTCTGTTCTTAAGCTCCGTCATCTCTTGACTAATAATATTATCAAAGCCATTTCGCAGCTGCTTTTGGAGACAACCTTCAAGTTTAAGACGTTTCTCCTGGAATTCTTGATGCAGATTCCTCATATCTGTGATACTACAAAAAAAAAAAAAAACACTCGAGAATTAGAACTGACCGATGACTGATGAATGTGTGTGAGTAAATTTTTGCTCCCTGCAAACCCCAATAGGAAAGTAAAACAAGAAATTTACTCTTGTATTTGGAAATGCCATGTTTCATTTTTTTTTAAATAAATTTAGAAATGCAATAACTATGAGAGTAGAGCTTGGTGGTTGAAGCACTGAGTTGAAATCCTCTAAAAATGCTAGGACTTTTCCCTAAGCTTCATAATGAGAGTTTATATAGAAACATGGCATCTTTTTTTTTTTTCGAATCTTAATTTATATGGCGCCTTTCACATTCCAGAGAACATACAAAAGCGCTGGCATCAGTATTTCCCAGGTCACCGGATACTTAGTTGGCAACCAACACAACTTTCTCTGCTCCCAGGGGAGTATCCCTAGTCATGCTGCTTTTCACGCACAACCACATAAATGTTCAATGCCACACCATCCTACCAGGTACCCATTTATACTCCTGGGTGCAAACATAAGTAAAGTACTTTGGCCAAGGAGACAAGCAATGTGACGTGCATCGGCCTCGAAATCCTGATCTCATGATCAGAAGTCCAACACCTTACACGCTGCGTGGAAGAGGGATTGCTGCCTATAAAGACTCAAGCCAAGTCTCTTGCAAGTCACGGATATCAGGATGGTTTTCCACACTCGCACAAGCAAGCTAGAATCTCCCGGATGCTAAGTTACTACAGTACTTCACAATATCAATTGTCTCATATGATTCAGTGCTTTGAGAACAGGGTATTACCCATATGCTTTATAAAATAAAAAGTTTTATGGTGTTACTTTTGATCGAGCTTGGCAGTTAATTTGTCCTGCAGTTGTTTCATCAGCTTCATACTTTTTTGTTCCACTCTCTTCATTGATTCTAAATCTTCCTCCAAAGATATAACCTCTGCCAGAATCTTCTTTTTGATAGCTTCAAACTCCTTTAATCTGATATAAAAATAACATAATCAAAGAAGTAAAATCATTTTTTCCTGATAAAGATACAGTACATCACCATTAAAATCACTATCATCCCAAATTATAATTATAGAAACAATATAAACAATTTTTCCTCGCACACTTCAATCTATTTGATTACCTGGCATAAACTATCTAATGTGAATAATATCAGAGCATCAACATTGACACTTCCAGCAACTCGTTCAAGTGGCAACAAAAGTTCAAATACAGTTTACCTTGTCTGCTGATAGCTCCAAAGGCTCTTGACATGCTTGGTGGCAGTATTGATGGCACACCCTGTCAGTAGCTTTGTTTGATTCTGCTTGGCCTGCAAAATTGCACATAGTTTATATTTTAATAACACTCATATACTGTAAATATGATTTTTTTAAGCTACCTTCCCTAATGAAATAATTGGCTTTTCCCTGATGGGGGTTGGGGTTCCTGTACCCCACTGAAAACTCAGCTGGCACAACCACTGCTTCAAACTTCAATGAATATTCATAGCCATGCAATAAATTCAGCACCAGTTTCATTTTAAACCTGCCTAACTATTACTACTATTACTAATAGTATGTTACTAACCATACTAATCTACATCATAGTACTGTACCAACGTCAGATGGAAATTCTCGTCTAATTGAATAGATTGCACCCCAAGATAGCTATGATGACCTCAGTGGTGGTGCCAGGATTTTAGAGACAAGTGGTCCAACATGTCCGACGGAGGGGTCCAAACCCAGGGCCCAGGCCAAACCAGGGCCGACTAGAGCCTTGGTTGACGGCCCAGAACAAAAAATCCCTCCTAGGGTTCACAGGGAGAGTTTTTACGGCTTAGTATGATCTAAATTGCGCTTTTAGACCACAATATTAGGAATTAGCAATCAAAATACAGTAACACGTTATTTGGATAGTCAAATTATTATTTCTATTTTTGATCCGACGACCTAGCCATGGCATACGGTTCACAGGGAGGGCTTTTATGGCTTAGTATGATCTAAATTGCGCTTTTAGACCAAAATATAAGGAATTAGCAATCAAAATACAGTAATGTTATTTGAATAGGCAAATAACTATTATATCTATTTTTGATCTGGTGACATAGTCAGATGACGGTGTGGGGGACGGGGGGGGGGGGGGGGGTCCAGGCCTGTCTAATGGGGTATCAAATGCCCCATGCCCTCCCCCAGCGCCACCACTGGATGACCTCACAACAAAAATAAAGTAATATATCCAATTTATTATTAAATATTTTATGTTGTGGCATCTTTATATACCTGTATTTGTTTTTTTATGGTTCCACCAACAAAATGTAGAAGTTGTTGTATTTCACCAATCTCCTCATTATCTGATCCTCTAAACTGGGTGGAACAGGAAGGTGTCATCATTAAGTCTTCAGCATCATCTACTTCATCGGCTCTGTCTTTGTGTCCTTCTTTTAAGTAATCTTATATAAGAAGAAATACCATCAGAGCAGTTTTCACATATTGCATATACAGTGGCCCCTTTGTCATTAAAAATAAATTAATCAATTTTGTCCCTTTTCAGGCTGAAATTAGACGAGTTTGGCCTTCACCCCTGGGGCACAGGCATTCACTGTGCAGTGTCTCCTGAAGTCGTTTAAACTGTCAATTTTACCGGAAAAAATAACCGGCACGTCTGTAAACATTTAGTATTTGTAAAATAAAAAAAAACACTGATTAAGCCTATGTAGTCTAGGTTGGCCCTCTTAACAAATAAACATCATTCATCAACATCATTCCAGTCTATACATTGGCTATGTGTACGTATGTTTTTGCAAGTCATTAAACCCCGCTCAAAAGGAGTAACGCTTCACATTGCAGCTGAATTTTTTTATGTAGAATTTACCTGTAAATATTTTTCAATTGGGAGAATTGCAACAATGCCAACTTAAATATGTATGGCACACCAATGTTTTATAACCAATGCTTTTAAATTGCCAAGTGATTATTATCATCATCACCATCATCATCAATTTATAATCTATTATTATTCCATGCAAGAATGGGTTAGACAAATTGATGTACTCGAATAATATTACATTGGTAGGAAGTAATCTAAACAACAAAGCAACCGGTCCAACCCCTTACTCTCCCTTGTAATACAAACTGATTTAATTATTGTACCATCATCTGCTTCTTCTTGATCAAGCTGAAACAATTTCTTTGGTATCAATAATGATGACTTCCTCCTTGCCGATTGCTTCTCCATCATCTCATAGATGGTAACATCCTGTTCCTCTTCCGGTTCATCTTCTGCATCACTTTCATCTTCAATTTCCTGTTCATATTTACGCTTTAAAGTAGACTTTGATGGTCTTGGGTTTTTAGATGGCCCTGATGCATTGGAATTGATGACAGCATCTTGCACTTCCTTCCACAACATTCATTAGAAACATAATGATTATTATATGTTGGTATATAAATTATACTTGGGTAGGTTCAATTTTGATAGAGGATATTTAGTCTTTAATCAATTTCCCCTAATTTAAAGTAAAGTTGAATCTATTTTTAATTTGTGTAATCATATATAAAAAATTTCTTGCTAGTTGAAATATGGAAATAATATTAAATTAACTATTTTGAGGCTAATGGATCTGTTTTTAGACATTAGTTTATTATTTAGTTTATCATAGTGGAATGTTCGATTAAACAATAGCACAATTGACAACTAAGGCTTATTTCACTACAATAACTGCATCATGGGGTGGAGATGTAACTCAACTAAAGTCCTAATAAAACACATACCCACTCTATAATAATTAATACATTCAATTAATTCATTGATAATAATTTAATAAACTGACAACAAAAACAACTTACTTTTTGATTTATTCTGACAGATTTTTTAACCATAGGTGTTTTGTAAGATGAATGGTCAGAGTTGGTTTTCTCAGGAAGAGCAGGTGTCTTAAGCATTTCAGCTTCCTCCTCCTCTTCCTCCTCATCCTCGGCCATGAAATCCTCTTCAAAATCAAAATTGAAGTTCATGAGCTGCTGCCAAAAACACAAACCAGTGATTATGATTTCATTAAAGAAATTCTGGCTATGGGAAATAGCAAAAACTGGTTTGCACACTGGTGATACACCACCTTTTAAAGATTTCTTGTAACTTTCTCATCTAACTATTCCAACATAGTACTGTGATTGAGTATGCTAAATAATAAAAATAAAAAAAATAAATAAAAAAATTTAAACAAAATAAATAAAAATAAAATATACAATTATTATAACAAACATGTATACTGTACACTATCTTGAGAAATGCACATCTCTGGACATGTTATTTATTATTTCTATAATAATTTGATTGTTTGCTAGGTCTATTATATCTATCTTTTGAAGTACTTTATAAGATTACCTTGTGTATTTATTTAATACAGTATTTAAAAAAGATACACAACAAATAGTTAACGCTATAATAACCTGTTGATTAACTTCTAAAATAGAACAAAAAACAATTGATTTTTCTACAACTTTTTAACAATATTGTTAATAATATTGAAATACAGTACAGTAATAACTAGTTATAATTGACATTGGAAACACCATCGAAATAATAACTCTTTCAACATCAACAACAATAATAAAAACAATAATGATGAATAATAACATACTAATATGCTATATTAATAATAATAAATTCATTATTTCATTAGGATTACTAACAATAAATGCTTTCTTTACCTCTACAGGGTGTTCTTTGCCTGAATTGTTACTGCTCGTTGTAGATTTTGCTGACGAGTTAAATTCATTCTCAGAAACTTGGAAATATAGATTACTTTGCTCACTGGTGTCCTCCTGGTTTGATAGTATTTTATGGGGTGCCATAGGTTGCTTTTAAATAAAAGACCATATTCATTTAAAATACCATTTTGTTACATAGAAAGTTACACATAAATGTTGTTTAATATTATTACTTTTGGTAGTTTATTGTTGTTCTTGTCATCATCATTGTTGCTGTAATTACCCCTGTCATCATCATTATCTCAGAATTATTATCATTATTTTTTATTACCTGTACTGTCATTTCCACCACAAACTGTAGAAATTAAATAGATTTTCTTTCTTCCCAACAGGCATGGAGGGGTGGGGAGCAGCTCTCCACTACAAGGGTTTCTGATCCCCCCGCCACCCTCTGTTTATCATCCTATAAGCCATCCATTAAATCGGCCCTTGTCATAGACATTTCCCCACCTTCGTCGGGCAAATCTTGGCACCACTACCGGCAGTTAATCAACTAATTACTCTTACATGGTTTTTCACACAGTACTCAAGATCCATGTTAGTTCAGAATGCCATCAAAATATTTCAAAATCTGATGTCTTAATTGAATTATTTACATTTTAAAAAAAATAATGTCTCAATTTAGTGAGCTGGTGTTTTTCTATAATAGTGTATTACCTATAATTAAAGAAAAGCAACTTCAAATTACATTTGCAAGACTTGAAGAAATATTGCATTATAAAATATGTAAAATATTTTTAAATCATTATAGAAGTTAATTTAATAAGATCAATAAATCATGGATGGTATGTCGTTTACAAAAAAACAATAAATAATTTGAAATACGCCTAGAAAGAGAATTCGAAAAAGAGAATTTTACCTTTTTACTTATATCATGTGCAGGAGTTGTTTCATTGGAAGCAGTCTTTGTCTTTCCTTTCACATGTACCTGCTTTCTCTTCTCTTTCACATGCACCAGTTCATCTTCTCTTTCTACTGTTTTCCTTCTTTTAGCATCATCTTGCTCATTTATGTCAGAGGAATTGTCTTCTATGGTGATTGGTTCAAGGAACTGGTTTTCTACTGAAGACAACCTTTTCTGGCTTTTCTTAGGGTGAGACCGTTTTTTGTTTCTTTTGCCATCAGCTTTCTTACTGGAGTCAGATATCCATGGGGAAGCATACACAGCCGCTCTTGAACTGTGTTGTACCCAGACATTAGTGTGTCCTTTCGAGTAAGTGCTTACTTGTTTCTTTTGCTTTTCTATCAACCAGCTCCTTCTACTGACAGTGCTGACAGCATCATTCTCGCTAGTATAACTGAGCTTCTTCATTGGAGCTCTTGTGACTCCAGTATTCAACTCTTCATTCTGCAGTGCAGGAACAGGCATATTATGTATTGTTGTATGGATAAGTACAGAAAAATGTGTCTGTGTATTTGTGTGTGTGTGTGTAATACAGGGATTTACACTGAGCATTTTGACATGAATGGCGCTTGTGATGTTCATTAAGGCCAACTCAGACAGCGTCGGCCGACGCAGCCCGACGCGATTTATCGTCGGGGACAGTTTTAAGCCGTCGTGAGAAATATTAAACATGTTAAATATTGTACGACGCGACTGCCCCCGACGCACACCATCGCATCTGCGTTTAACTTACACAGAACCGACGCGACAACAAATCGCGTTGGGCTGCGTCGTACGACGCTGTCTGAGTTGGCCTTTAGATGCATACATTGGCAACACTCTCTACTCTCTTTGGAGTACCCCTAGTTATATTCCACACAGACTATTACATTAAATGCCACAACATTCACAACAATTAAAACTGTGTGGTGTTGGTGGTGGTGAAAAAACTAATACTATTGCCTGACACAAGGAAAATGCACAGTGAGAGGTTCAAAGCTCCAACCTCATGACTAAAAGTTTGAACCCCGACCACTGCATCAGCCACTCTCACTTATACCTTGAAAAATTGCAAGATGAGTGTTACTTTTTAATTCAATTGCAATAAAGTGTTTTATAATATATCAGAGTCTCACCATTTCTGTTGAGAGGTTTTCCGCTGAACCTACTGAGGGATTATCATCCACAGAGCTGAATATACAAAACATTGAATAATAACATTCAGGACATGGCAGGTGAGTTATTTACTAGTGTAAGAATAATAACTTCACAATATAATACACAACACTATGGTCTATGACATCAGTGTGTTTTACATGAATGAAAGTTTAAAAAGAGCATGAAGGTAACAAAAAGAAGTGGTGTGTATGAACGAAAAGGTTACGAGACAAGCTGAAGAGATAACCAACAGCACCACACCATTCTACAATAAGGTAACAACTGAGGGAATTTATGGAGGCTTACCTGCCTCGATCCTGGTAACTGACAGACTTACGAGATCTCTTAGGTCTTTTGACATCTGTCAGAAGAATCTAGGGAATTGAAAACAGTAATAATAACAATAACAATTATATTTTATCTTTGATCAATTACATTGCGCATTACAGAGAACCTAAATGCTTTATAAAAAGGAACAAAACATCATCATGATGATAGTGATCATTACTATTATCAACAAATATTACCATCATCACCATCATAAAAATCACAAGTACTGTAAATGCTAGTCCTACTTTTGGAATGGTTTTTACATACTCTAGTACTATAACTATGACCTACAGATAGAAAATCACACAAAATATATCAAGCACTAATCAAATAGACATCCTACCTGACACATTTTGGTGAAGCTGGCAACAGACTGTGCATCATCTGGTGGTGTACTAACATCCACATTGTTATCTGGATCCTCCTCTTCCTCTTCTGTGTCACTATCCACAATGATTTCCTCAGATCTTTCCTTTATGCTTTGTTTATTCATTGTTTCATAAACTCTGCCCTTATTCTCACCTGTAATCTTGCATGTGTCTTCACTTCTTTCAATTCTGTTCATATCGGGTTTTGGTGCACCCACGATGCTGTTTCCAGGATCATTTTCATTTCTGATAATTTTCCTCTTATCCCTTTTCTTCTGCTCATCATTTCCTTTTAAAAATTTCCTCTTGTGATTTTCTAATCTCTCCTCTTCCTCATCTTCTTCTGTGTCACTTTCCACAATTATTTGCTTAGGTCTTTCCTTTTTGCTTTCTTTACTCTTTGTTTCTGAAACTCTGCTCCTCTTCTTCCCTGTCATCTCATATGTGTCTTCATTTCTTTCTATTCTACTTATCCCAGGCGTTGATGTGCCCACAATGCTGTTTGCAGAATCATTCTCATTTCTGATACTTTTCTTCTCCTTTTTATTCTTTTGCTCATCATTTTCTTTCAAAATGCTTCTTTTCTGATTTTCTAATCTCTCCTCTTCATCTTCTTCTTCCTCTTCTTCTATGTCACTATCCACAATGATTTTCTCAGGTCTTTCCTTTTTGCTTTCTTTCTTCTTTGTCTTACTCTTCCGTGTCATCACAAATGCATCTTCCTTTCTTTCTATTTTGTTCATCACCAGTTTTGAGGAGCCTACAATGCTGTTTCCAGGATCATTCTTGTTTCTGATACTCTTCCTCTTCTCCTTTTTCTGCTCATCATTTTCTATCAAAATTTTCTGTTCCTGATTTTCTAATCCTTCATTTAAATATCCTTGTGAGTATGTATAATTTTCCTTGTTTGTTTTTGCAGACTCAACTTCATCAAGTTCCTTAGCAGAAGTGACACCATCAATGACTTCCTCTTTCTTCTGTTTCCTTTTCTGTGGTCTCCTGACATCCTTACCTTCCTGCAAAAACTTTTCATCAGAATCTGTTAGCTGCGTGTTTTGTTCATATACAGGTTTGCCTGGTTGCTTTTTCTTACCCTTAATTATCGATCCAATGATCGAGTTAAACTCTTCAAGATCTGCATCATGAATTTCTGAATCCATATTGTCAGTGCATGCATCCCTCAGCATCTCAATCTCTGAAACTCCTTTTCTTTCTCTGCAGTTAATTGTATTTTGCTTCTTGTTGCCAATTTCTATGTTTGTATATTCTTTGTCCATCGTTGTTTTGTTTTTCTTTTTTGATTTGTTTTGTTTTCCTTTAACAGGTTTATTGTTATTAACTTCCTTGCCAAACTTCCTTTTTTTACCTCTTTTCCCTTTATTATTAGTTTCATTTTTCTCTTCATTCTGCTCTTTAAAATCATTCAAAGAGTCTTCTTGATATTCTTCTACAATTTTCTTTTGTGCTTTCTTTTTTTCTTTATTTTTACTATGAAACTGATCATATGGAATGGGTTCATCATCTTCACTTTCAACCACAATTCTATCGGCTTTCTGCTTTCTATTTGATTCTTCATCGCTAACTTCAAAAGAATATTCATCATATTTATCTTCTGTGATTACTTTTATCGTTTTAATTGATGGATCCTTCTTGTTGCCTTTCTTTGGCTTTTTAAACTTAGATGTGCTTTCTTCTTTATCTTTGTGTATTTCTTTTTGGTTCCTTGACTTCTTTGGTCTCTTTTCTACCTGGAAATCATATGGATCATACTCATTCTCTAGGATCACTTCATCAATATCTTCATGTCTGTTTACTTTTTGTTGATGAACTCTGCTGGTTGGTTTGTTTGATTTTATCTGCTTCTTGTGGCCTCCTAGGCTGGGGTTGTATTTCGGCTTTGCCCTTGTGGTTTGACTCGTTAGAAGTATTTTGACTGACTGCGATGAAGCAGCTGAATCTTGTGATAAGTTAAGATCATCATCTACTGCTTCATTTTTATCTAAATTCTCTGGAAAATATAACCAACACTCCAAAATGACAATAATTTTTCATATCAAAAATAATTAACACTTTGAACATCCTTGTTGAATATTGCCGTCAAAAGTGTTTATTATACACATTTATTATTAAATTTGTTCTCTGTACTCATGTCCCCTACCAACAGTAGTACGTAGAATATAATGACGTTGAGTTCTCGTGGTCGCATGGATTCTAGGATGCAATTTAGCCAAATCTATATGTTATGCAGAGAACGTAGGATGGTCATGCATAAGTGAAGCAGTTCTAGCGTCGTATCGTCAGTACAGTGTATGTAGGAACAAAATAAAATATCTTATGTTAAGGGCAGCATAACAAAGTTCAAATCAATGTAACATGTAAAGCCCTGTTCAGATTATCAAATTTGGTCATGATGACATGACATTATGATGACATCATGATGACATGACATCATGAGCACATAGCCACATCATGACTACCATAATGCTTGAATAGCGCCGCTCTCGCTTAAGCACCGCACCAAACGTGATTTGTTTCGCTAGGTGCTTAATCAGGAGTATTATGTTACCTTGTGTAAAATTAAACACTTTGAGAAACAGTGTTTTAAATACAATGTACACAATGTTAAAATGAATAAATAACACAATGAAGACACAAGCATTTCTTTATAAACACTTATGTACGATGACGTATGACCTATAGGTCTGTCGAACTACGAGAATATGTGAGATATATTTTTTTAAGCACTGCTCTCGAATAAATGCCGCACTGAAGCTTCCAAAAATGTTATAAGTGCAGCGTCGCTTATTCAAGCATTTACGGTATACAACAGTTTTTTGTAAAAAAAATTTACTGTTGTGGACAGAGCTACACTTTCCATATCTACACTAATGTAAAGAAATAAAACAGTCATACGCAAACACTACTATCTCACCTTGCTCTGGTTGCTTAACTATAAAAATATCTTATGTTGAGGGCAGCATAACAAAGTTCAAATCAATGTTAACTGGTAAAGCCCTGTTCAGATTATCAAATTTGGTCATGATGACATGACATTATGATGACATCATGATGACATGACATCATGAGCACATAGCCACATCATGACTACCATAATGCTTGAATAGCGCCGCTCTCGCTTAAGCACCGCACCAAACGTGATTTGTTTCGTTAGGTGCTTAATCAGGAGTATTATGTTACCTTGTGTAAAATTAAACACTTTGAGAAAGAGGGTTTTAAATACAATGTACACAATGTTAAAATGAATAAATAACACAATGAAGACACAAGTATTTCTTTATAAACACTTATGTACGATGACGTATGACCTATAGGTCTGTCGAACTACGAGAATATGGGAGATAGGTAACATGAGAAAATGGGCATGGAAAGTGCCACGCCAATATATTTTTTTAAGCACTGCTCTCGAATAAGCGCCGCACTGAAGCTTCCAAAAATGTTATAAGTGCAGCATCGCTTATTCAAGCATTTATGGTATACAACAGTTTTTTGTAAAAAAAAATTACTATTGTGGACAGAGCTACACTTTCCATATCTACACTAATGTAAAGAAATAAAACAGTCATACGCAAACACTACTATCTCACCTTGCTCTGGTTGCTTAACCATAGGTGTGGTGTGCTTGCTGCGAGAACTTTCCTCCTCTGACACTGTACTCAGTGTTGGGGTCAGTGCAGCTAAGTATACTTTCTTAGTATACACTTCACTTCAATACAAACAAATTATAAGCCAAATGTTAGTAAACATGTGGAAAATATTTCATACAATATCATTTTAATGTAAATTTGAATGGTATTAAATTACATTCACATAAATAATTAATTCAATGTAAATAAAAATTATACATTGATGTTGGGCATTCTTTTCCAGCAATTACAGTATATAAATATATTGTTATGATTATCCACTTTTGTATAGCACCCTAAATATGAATTTCAATGCCTTCTAAATAGCAATATCACTCACAAAAGGTATAATTTTTAAAAAGCAGCTATACAAATCCCATTTTGAATTGAAGGTAGTAGTACATTCCAGGTAAGGACAGCTACATTAAATTGTCTTGAGCTAAAGTACTAGCTTTTATGAGATTTTGATAAATGGCATATAAAATCTGTTACCTTCTTTCCATATTGCAGAGCTGACTGTTGTAGCTAGAAGGGATTGGCAAGGAGTCTGGTATTGTATCAGAGTCATTATGAATTGGGACCAGACAGCCAGATTTTACTACTACAAAAAATAAACCAAATACACTATATTAAATGCAATGATGCTCATATGACCATACTTATAAAAAATTGCGTCTAGTGGAACTTTTCACTTGGAACCTTCAATGGCCTATACACTAGGATTTTTTACAAGGATTGTGGAGAGTTTAGATTTTTTTTACAATAGAATGCACTAGCAAACATTGGCCAAACCGGTTGCGAAAACGCACCCAATGTGTCAATCAATGGTTCGCTGCAACAAAAAAGTAAAAAAGTAAACAAATCTGCAAGTAAATATATGGTTTTCTGTAAACATTAGTTTGCTTTTGTTTGGTTTCTTTTTTTTTTTTTTTTTGTATCAGAATCATTATGAATTGGGACTAGACAGCCAGAATTTACTACTACTAAATGGTTTCCTGTAAACATTAGTTTGCTTTTGTTTGTTTTTGTTTTCTTCTTAATTTTAAAGTTTAAAAAGTTAAAAAAAAAAAAAAGGTTAAAAGAACTTTAAAAAGTTAGAGATTGCCATGATTACAATGTTCCCAACTACCCTGTCTGGTGCAAACCAAGTTCAAATATAACTTTTGTCATCATAACTTGAGAAAAAGATGAAATGTGCTACATCTAATACTACAGCATAAAAATTACATGCAAGGAGAAAAGTTCCCCAAATATTACCTGGGAAGTCTTCCTCGTCAACTTCTGTTTTCTTAGATGATTTAGTGGAAGCTTCAACCTCTTCTGTTACATCCTCACCAATGTCTTCATGTACCTGACATCCTGGTGAATCAACTGCCACTCTAACTGGTTCTTTTACGTGTACTGAATTATCTTTATTACTGAATGTTTTTGCATTTTCATCTAATGCCTTAATGCTCTCACTTGACTTCCTTCTCTTTTCTCTTGTGGTCTTCCTAGCATTATATTCCTTATCAGTATCAGAGGCTGTATCAGTGGTAGACTTATCACTGGGTATGGTGATACGTAATGGTGTCTTCACTCTTTTTGCACCTCCTTGCTTAGATTTGGGTGTTTTAGGAATATCTGATGAAACAAATTCTTTAAAATTTCATTTGATGTGATTGGGTTAGCAGGAAAATATCACATACACATAAAACATTAACGAGTGCACTAAATTTTTCAATTTCTAGCCATAGTAAAAGTGTTGAGAGGGTTTAGTAATCATTGTCAAAATGTTGTGTTATTTTAAAATGAGGGCCCTTGAATATCAGCCAATTTTCTAGAATATGCCGGAAGGTTCACCCTCTATAAATATGGTGTAAAAAAAAATTCCAAAACAAAATTTAAACATTTGTATGTATCATGCTAGGATCCTAGGAAATACACAAGCCAATTATTATTGAAATTTGAGCATCACGAAGTTTATTTCATCCTGCAAATAGCAAGTTAATTGCTGTTGAAAGTTTTTTAGATTTTTAAAATCACATTTCATAATTACAAATAAAATAAAATATTCTGTTTTTTTTTTGTGTTAATTGTAAATGCAAATGAATATCAATCTTGCTTTATATATTTTTGTACCATTTTCAACATTGGCAATCTATCAATCATTGTATATCTAATTCTTCAATATTATCCATGGTACAGTACCTTTGTCATGGTTATCCTTTTTGCTTTGTCCACTTCCATTAGCAGGTGTTGTGGTCTTGCAACCAGGTTTTGCCAGCATCTCCCTTGCAGGAGACATCATAGGATTCAAAGGGATAGAAACCCTGGGTTGTAGCATTGATTCATGTGTTTTTAACGCAGACGGCAACTGTAAAGGCTTTGTGTGTCCTCTACTTGAATCCATCAGTCGACTTGTTGGAGAGGTTATGAGGTCTGGCATTTGAGACATTAGGTCTGGGTTTGGATGTTTGATTCTATGACTGGATTTGCTACTTTTGTTGACACAGATGTCCATCTCAGATACAGATGCCTTTCCAGTAGATCTCTAAATTAGATTTAAAAAATTATTCTGTTTAATTTAACTTTAAGATGAATGTTTAATCATTAATGTAAAAAATTGTAACTTCTCATATATATATTCTCATAGGAAGGGGTGTGAGAGTCGACAACACATCAACCCCCACCATGGGTGGGGCTGAGATGAGAAAATTGTGAGAATATGAGCCGCTAGCTGCCCGGAAACTGCTTAAAAAGCTTACTATTACTATGTTAGTAATGATAAAATCATATATCAACAATACAATAGAACAATTATTTTTCTTAATACAATTTTTGGTGGGGGGTGTGAGATCGCAACGTCTGCACACCCCCACCCCACTTTGCATCCACCCCAGTACCTACCTATTTATATATTTGTAAGTACTGTTTGAAGACCTCTTTAAGTCAGCTTTGCTCTAAGAACCCCCTTGTGAAATATTGTTGAATAAATAAATTAGTCTTTTCATTTGTTTTAAAACCAAACTGTATTAAATATTATACAGCACTTACATATTTCTTGGCAGGTTTTTCTCCAAATACCAACTTCAACGCATGGGTGACATCCACAGACTTGTCAAATAACATTTGGGCTACTTGACTGTTATCACAGCACTTCTCAAATAAGTCACTCACAGGGATGTTCAAATTCATCTGCAATAGATTATAACTGCCCTCCTCTGCCAAGAATAAGAAAAGCAGTGAGGGCCCCTGATTTTTTGAATAAAATAAAATAAATTTTTGGCCCTGTATGGCCTTTAGAGGGTGTTTTCACCTTGGACAATACTTCTTCAATGGCAGATTGTTATTATCTTATGCATGACAATTAATCCGCCAGATTCATCATGATCCTAAATTACAATTTAAGTATTCAAAAGTCAGTATATATTTTTTCCACTATGCCCTTATTTACTGCAGTGACATAATACAGCATACAGTAACTGTATTATAAATGTCTTTGTTACATTCATTGACCATAGAAACTGAAACTGGAACCAACCCTAAGTTGAAACAAGGGTTGTATCTCTGCTTAGGGCAGAGTATCTTGTATATCAACTCTATGCGCTGAAGAACCCATGGCCCAAGTGTAACAACAATTACAAAACCAAACACGAAAGAATAAAGATCAAAAATAAAAAGAATAAAATAGAAATTGAAAATAATGGAATGCATATTTATAACAGGATGAATTCAGCCTAAATATATGAAAGGACTTGTGGGACTGCCTTCTAAATATATAATTAACTAATGAAGGTTTTTTTTTTATTTTTTAGTAGCGGCAGTTTGGTGAAGCGGTTAAGGTTGGGGCTTTTGAGTCTCCGCTGTGCAGATTCACTTGTGTCCTTGGGACAGGCACTTCAGCAACATTGCTTCAGTCCACCCAGCTGTATCAATGGGTACCAGTAAACTGCTGGGGACTAACCTACAATAGACTAGAGTCCTGTCCAGGGGGAGTACAATTCTCATCCACTTCACACTACAGAAACTGGGGATAAGCTCCCCCAGGATTTAGTTTTTAGTTATGAAGGTTTTTAACATTATGATAATTCAGGTATACAATATATACATTTCATTGATACTATTTTATTTTACCTTTAATTGTGTAGTTATCAACATCATCAGAACTGATGGTGATAGTCTCCCACATGCAATCATTCTGAAAAAAAAGTTAATTTTACTTGGTCAGTGGCAAATCCTGGAATTAAAATAGGATGGGGGGGGAGGAGAGAGGGGTGCAATGAGCGACATTCAAAGATGGATGGTCTAATCATCTCAGTCACACTATGGTTGGGGCTGTGGTAAGAAAATTTGTGATTATGGCACTCTCAGATTTTTTCTTTTTTTTTTTTATTTTGGAAAATTTCGTGGGGGGAGGGAGGCAGGGAGGTGGCCCTTGAATCTACCATTGTTGGTAACATACTATTGTGAAAGACCTACCACTTGAAGGATGGAATAAGTCATGTTACTCTATAAACTCTGTGTTTTCTCCTTCTCAGCTACCATACTTAAACAATTTTGATTTTGTAAAAAAAATTCAATAACAAATATTTTTAAAAATAAAAAGTAGTTAATCAATGAATTAAATAATCAACTTACAGCATCATTTTCATCATCCACATAGATTGTAACACACTTAGAAACAGAATTGACGTCTACCCAGAATTCTGACAAATTCCCACCTTTTGGAACAACTAACTGCAAAGACAGCAAAAGTTGTGAAATAGTGAAATATTCAACAATTTCACTAAAAAAAAGCATTGCTCAATGAGGGCAGCATAGCTCAGCTGTCGGCTAAACTACAAGTTGTAGCAACTGTGTTTGTGCTGAGTTGTGGAGATCTTTTGGTACCCAATTCAATTCCATCCACTCCTCTTTTTGTGCTTCCGCTGGAGGACTATTGTATATATTGTATATAAAATTTGTCATTAATATCCTTAATTGATATTTAATATGTACAGCTATGATTATATATTTTGTTATTCTATTAGTATTTTTCTTCCCCCACTATTTTTATGATGTTCACAACCAACAGCAAATACTCTTACTAATTACAGGATAGAATAATGTTCCATTAATTAATTATCTTTAAGAGACTCTTTGCAGTGGAGTTGATTTAAGTCATGAAAAAACATTCCAGCTGTCACATGGTTTGGACACAAAGCCACAGCATTTCACACACAAGGCTAGAGTTCAATATTTGAGCTGTCTTTAAATAAATAGCTAAAATGAAGCCAATAGTTGCAATGCTACTGACCTTATGATAGCCAAGGTAAGCCTTCACAGCTGCATACGAGTACACACTGAAATATAAAATAATAATTATAAATACAGACAGTTTATTACATTCCTGACCTTGAAACAGCGCAGCTTGTCAAAATTCATAAACATGTTGTTCTCTCCCAAAGTAATATAAACAGATGATATGATTAAAAAATATCCAGAAATATATTTTATGGATTAAAATCTAATTAATTCTAGGAATAGAAAACTATAAATTTGGTTATTAAAATAAAATATAGAGCAATTTACCTTCTTCTTTTACCAGCAGTTTCATTCAAATAATTCAAGAATTTTCTACAATCCTAAAAATTATGAAAATATAATTTTGAGGATTACATTTGGAACGTATAAATTTGACAAATGAATGAACTTAAATTTGTTTGCTATTAAAATATCAGTCAATTTTGAAAGTCAAATACTCTACCTAGAAGTGACTGGTTTTTAATACTGAATTACTATCCATGTCAGTGCAGCGATTTGGCTGGAGACACACTAAAATTCTCTTTAACAGTATAACCCCTATTTAAGTGGATACCTTTAGGACCAGAAAACATGTCCGCTTAATAGTAGTGTGTCCTTAATGGGGGCTGACCTTAGTGCTAGAATATATGTTTCCCTTGATTCCCAACCAAAAGTGTCCCCATAATAGGGGTGTCTCAAAAGAGGGGCTCTACTGTAATTCATAATGATTTAGAATATGAAACAAATTTTGTACTGGTAGATTACCTTTCTCCCTGGGCATTTTATGTAAATATATAACTATCAAATAATCAAAAAAAAAAATGTATATTATAATTAGTATGTAATGTAACATACTGCATCAAAACAGGAGTCTTTTATCTCAAGAAACTTGACAGCCAGTTGTTGTTGTTGGAACCATTTCTTGGCATGCAGTGGACGTTCTGACTTCTTCACTAAGCGTACCATTGATTCAATCAGTGACATTTGCATTTCAAAGTCTCCTGCTGTAACAAGGAACTTCGGTAGTTGCTTCCTAAACGAAAAGATGTTGCAAAAAGTGTAAAAAAAAATTTAATACATTTCAACAATCACTTGAAATAAATATTATATTATAGGTCTTGGCATTTCAATTTCAATTAAAATTTTATTTCACACATTATAGAATCAATATAATTATACATATTACAATTAATCAATATGGTAATAAGACATTACAATTAATTACTGCTGGTTTTTGCAGTCATTAGCAGTATCACATCCATATTCAGTGTCCTTCCAATTAAAAAATTATTTTTGGTACTATTATCCCGATTCGATTGGCCGAGCAAATTAAGAAAGTCCAATTGCATATTAATTAAAATATAAATTTCAAATTTGAATCAGCATGTCTGGCTTCGGGAGAATGCTGATATTGATAGTATACATTTTCATGTACCATACATGATGCGAGGTCCCAAATAAGCGGCTACAATTAGTACATGATACCAGGTCCGTTTGACACAACCCCACCTCGGCACAACCCGACACTGGACTAAAATTTTAACCAACAAACATCATGGATTAAAACCAATTTTGCCCAAGGAGACAAATTAAACTAAAACCAATTAAGCCAGCGGCAAAATCAGACCAAATGGAACTTAGACCAAATTCAACTCTATATTTACAGTAACCATGTATATGATAGCCATGAAATGTGTTTGTTTCCCATGATACTTAAAGGAATCATTTAATCACAGTTTTAATGGATCTGGTTTCAAGGAACAATATGGTGCACCTGACTCAGCCATTTGAATTTTCACTTTATTATCCTTAATGAAACTCGGTGGTCACACATTTGAAATAGTAATTTGAAAAACCAATTTAATACTTATAATAAATACCATAAAATAAGTTTCCACTATTACCTCCATTTTGATGTCAAATTCATTGTTAGAGCTGGTCAGAAGATCCAACAGCTGCTCAGAGGATTTCACTATGGTGTCTTTGACATCTTCATCATCGTCACATTCAGCAACATTCTGTAAAAAATTAGTGTGTCGACAAAAATGATAATAAAATAAACACAAGATGATATTGCTTTAAATCTCTCCAGAAGCTTGCGCAATTTTCCCTGTGGCCATTTTTTTGTGTTTAAATTTTTTTATAATATTTTGCTTTGTAATTTATTTAAAAGTAAATCATTTTTGTCTATAAACCTGTTCATTTTTTCAAGATATTATTGTTTATGGTGGTTTTAATAAAGTCCCTGTAAAAGAGAATCAGAATATTAATTATGTATTTTCATTTATATTTTACTTTTCTTTTCTCCTTTTGTTCAATGGACCATTTTTTTCTTATTTCAATTAAGTTTTTAGTGTTTCTAATGTGTACTTTAATTCTCTGGATTATTTTAATATTTCAATTATTTGCTGATTCTTAATGTGTCAATTTTATTTTCTAATTATTATTTTTAATGTATTCCTTAATTCATTATTATATAAATATTTTCAGATTTTACATTTTTCTGTTTTAATTTAATTAATTTGTTTTTAATGTAAGATCTAGTTTCACTTTCGTCTTTTATCCTTTTGTTTGTCTTATAATAAATGTACTGAGGGTTCCAATTGATCAACTCTGGCGGATAGACCACACTCAAAAACCTTGTTGTTGAAATAAATAAAATATGCTGTTTTGATTCTATTGAAAGTGAAATCAATCAAATCAAAAGGATATACACTTAACATACTAAAATATTTATTTATATACAGTAGTAACATAAAAATCAATTAAACTCACATTGTCCTTTGTTGGCATTGTTTGAAAGTTGCTGGAAATTCGGACAGGCCTAGATGAAATCTCAGTTGCACTTACAAAATAGTCTTATCAAATCAGTAGTCAAATCTTTCTTTTTAAATGACAAAAAGCAAGAAAGTATTACTACAGGCCTACCGCAATTTCCTAGACTTATTTTAATATTCTTACGATATTGGTAATAATTATTTTCTAAATATTTTCTATTGAAATTTTCTCTTTTTGTGTACGATAATTTAAAATTCCAAGCCAAAAAATATTCACATAGGCCTAGCCTAAACTAAGCCTAAAAATACATTTTTTTTAAAAATACATTCATATCCTAGGCCTAGGCCTATATACTAGGCCTAGTGTGATTGCCAACACTTTTTTACCAAAACTTATCGTTATAATAGGCCTAGGTAAAAAATAATATTTATTGGTTGTGGTGTTGATGTGAATAAATAAACATAGGCTAGGCCCTAGCCTAGGCTAACCCTAGAAAAGTACCCAGCCCCGAAACCAACCTGCGCTCAAGCCATGACCCATGGGTATAGCCTAGGCCTAGATAGGCCTGGCCTAGCCTAGAGGGGCATGGTGTTTACTTTGGATGGAGGCAGATAGGCCAAGCCTGCGCTAGCCTAGCTTAACCAAGGTCCGGCCCCTAGCCTAGCCTATCATCCCTGGCTAGGCCTAGTGTAGGCCTAGGCTAGCCTACCTAGCCTATGCTAGAGCCTAAAGGCCTAGGCCTAGCTAGCCTAGGGCCTAGCTAGGCTATGATTCAATTTTACTTTTTGCAGTAGCAAATAAATGAGCTGAGGAAAAAATGGTATTACTTGAAAAACAAAAAACAATAGAATGACTCATAATAACATGAACTTCCAAGCCTACCTAGGCCTAGGCCTAGCTCGCCGCTATTTTGCTAAATTAAATGTCCCGCGCGAGCATTGCTCTTCTTTCTAGCTGCGATGCGGAGATCATCTCCGCATCGTCTGGCGGTGGTGTGCGCGTTGTGTTGCCCGAGGAGTCACACACGCATGCGCATTAAATTTACATTTTCGTGTTTTACACTTTTTTGAAAAGCCACCTGACAGTAGGCTCCTAAATTCACTTTTTTGGCAATCCTGTCATTGTTGGTGTATAATTTTTATTTTTACTTTGTATTTGATATTGTCTCGTATTTATTTTGTCTGTATTTTATATGTATATTTTTAATGACTAATATCATAAAATGACCATCATCTTTATCATCATAATATTATCACGATGAGTGCCGATGATGATGTGATTACGAATTACGATAAAGATGACGATGATTCAGATTGTGGCCATGATAAATGGATTTAGGCCTACTGTATACTTTATTTCATTAGGCTACATTCAGGGATGCATATTGCGATTCTATTAGGGCCTAACTTAAAATTGCTTCGTCAGTATAAAAAACATATAGTAAGAAAAGAACAACAAATATTCTTAGGTTCAATTACTTTTTATTACAATTTAATTCATTTATTTCTTCTTCATAACATTTCCCAAAGTCTACAAGTAAACAAGGTCGAAACAGCCAAAACCAGTCCGGGACTTAAAACATCCAGCGAATCGTTAATAATCACGATTTTAATATATATATATATATATATATATATATATATTGTTGTTTTCCAGTATTTTGCCTTTTAATCTATATATATACTGTCTCTTATACACATCTTATATATATATATATATACATATATATATATA